GACATATCTAAAAAATGTCAACAAGTACGAATATCTAAAAATTAATATATATGTGGAGTTAGTTAGTTTTGCAGAAGGGCAAAAAGACTAATAAAGATATGTTACGAAAATAGAGATTTTAAAACGACTATATGGATTTTTCAATCAAGAAATAGAATATAAAAAATCCTTCTTGCAGTAGAAACTACCAATGTGCAGAGAAAGGTGGAGAAAGGTGGTCTGGTTTAACGTTGCTTAATCACTTATAGGTTAGCTTAGGTTTGGTTAAAGTTAAATAAGTCACCAAATAGACGAAGAAGTATTGGCCGACCAAGAAAAAGATGGTGCGGCAATTTAAACAATTTAGGAGGCTAATATTAAAGAAGAAACAGGTTTTAAAGACTACATACAAGAAAAAGGAAGAAGAAGAAGAAGATTAGAGGACGACCAAAAAATTCTGAATGCTGATACTAGCACATTGAAATAAAGGAGGACAAGATTGAAATTGTTATTAAATATTTGCTTACAAATAAAGAGAAAAGGACAATATTTGTTGTAAAAAATTGAACAGAGAAAAAGGGATCAAAAGAAATTCGAAAATTTGTGCAAAGAAAAAGAAAAGCAAGAAAAAAGCAAAAAACTGGAACTACCAAAAATAAGAATGTACAAGCAAAAGTAATCACCCGATGTTCTTTCGCTGTATTTTTTTTTATTGAGAAACTTTGGTTCAGGTTGTAAAATGTGTTTACTTAATCAATTAGAATTTATTCCATCAATTCGAAAAAATGATATCAGCGAAATGGCCGATGCCAGAGTTAATGGTTGACTTCAGGCGACAGGTTCTCGCATTCCTGGAGAATATTCTCCTTAGGACGTCAAGAGTCTAGGTTTGTTGACGTATACTCGCGACTTCAAAGATCCCATAAACAGAAATTAAAAACTGTTAAATCAGTTGGTATGGTCGATCAGTGCAAATCACCAAAACGGAGATTAAGCGACCAAAAATTCGTCCTTGAGAATGTCGGTTGTGGATTGAGCAGTGTTTATTGATCGAACAGTGGCGAGTTTGTTTATTCACGTAACCGCTAAGATGGAGGTCAACAGCTAACAGCTGATGCGTTTGCCGCACTTTGCAAAGGAACATTTTCAATTTTTTCATCAAAATTACGGACAGGGAACCCCGGCTAAAGTCCAATTGCATGGTACGTCGTTTTGATGTTATTCCGGGCTCCTCTTCAACGTCTTGAGCCACAGCAACGATATTCTCAGCAAACTTTCTGGTCTAGAGCCAGCTTTGAAAGTATGCCACATTGTTCTACTCTCTTCAAGGCGAGTCACCAAACGCCGCAGTGTTTGTCCAGTTGGTATCGAACGGCCAGGAAAGCTACGACGAAATTCATGCTAGGCCAACATAACGGACGAATTGTTGTCTAAAAAATGAAAACAATTATTTCGTGTTTGTGCGAAGTAAACCGATTCATGGCTTATCGATTTACATTCTGCGCTTGTTCACTGTACAAATGTCAAAATCGAATTGACATTTGGCGCTAATTGCAAAAGTTATAGGGTTTTCCAATAAGGTGAGTACTTTTAAAAGCCTTAGGCAAACACTCATACTTGACGTACAGAACCTGTAGAGCTAAACAAGAAAGAACATTCAGAATCACGGTTGATCAAAGTAGGGACCCAACAAGGTAGTGTTATACCCAATGCTGTATTTATTATATACTTTTGACATCCCTGTCACGTAAAACGTTAAAAATCCACATTTATAGACGATACTACAAAAACCAACGATTCGAAAAGCATTCTAAGAGACGACCAGACACTTCCAAAACGTAGTGACAAAATAAATACTGAGAATAACAAATGCGAAAAAATTTATGAAGGGAAATCTACTCATATCGATGGCACTTATAAAAAAGTTAATAACCACCCAGTTGTACTAAATAATAGAATTGTCGCTTACAATAAAATAACCAGGTTAGTCTTGGCTTAGATTCAAAGAGTCTAAAACCCAATTTAAAGAATATAGTAACACTCCATGATATATCCTCAACTAAAACCTACATCGGGTTTCCACGTGGAAAAAATTACAAAAGAAATTAAGACGATTACCAAGGGCCAGGAAGAACGACTATATAACCATATAAACAGTGAAGAACTCTTAGATAATCAAGACTTAGTCTTCAGGTTTAAACGCGTTTTTGTCAGTCGTCCACATTAGGTAAGTGCGCAAAATCAATTTTAAGCTTGTTCAATTGAAACTCATCTTTGGTCAAATTAGTCTTGGAAACAAAACTCATCCAAATGTAATCAACGTGTGATAAAGAAACTTTTTTTTTCAGCCATAAAGGACCATTGCTCATGGAGTTTACACCACCTACAGTTCATGTCATTGGAAACCCGTATAATGAAAACTTGAACAAGCTTCATGAAGCAATAAGACGAAGACATCAGGGAAGTTCTCAAGTAGTGTCATTTTTCTTCACGACAATGCTTGGTCTGCTTGGATAAAAATAGAGAATATTAAAGCATCCACCCTATAGTCCCGATTTATTGCTTTGCGATTTCTTCACCTTTGGGCCACTAAAAAATATCAAGTAGGTAGTACAATATACCGCAAAAGAATTCTTTGAGCAATGACCACAAAAATTCTTTAAGCAGGATACATCGTTTCGTGGAATAATGGGTTATGTGCCTTTATTATGATGTAATTATTATTTGTGGATATTTTTGCCTATACTTTTTTCTCGATCAAAGATGTTCGTATTAGTTTCTAAGGTTAACCATTGGTCCTAGTGGACCATTGACCAGTGAATCTATGACAGTAATGTAATTAAATATAAAATGGTAACTTGTGGGATTAAGTACATTAATTTAAAGGTGCAAAGAATAAAAATTGAAATCTTTGTTTTTTCAGTTACATATTTATAAGAACGACGGAAGGTATGGTATTAGTCGACCTCTACGCATAAATATTTATGCGCAGAGGGATTTTTATGATCTTCGCCCATTTTTACGTGCTCCACTTAACGTAATGCTTGTTGGTCATAAATAGATACGTAATGAAGAAATTTGTTACTCTTGGCTTGTAGCAAGTACCTATAGATTTTTTACATTTTACGAGGTTTTGTCCACGAGCTAGTTCCTGGGTAATAAATTTTCTTCATTTTAAAGACGAGTGCATGGTAATCATATTATGTAATGCATAAGTAACGGCTGTTTGGGGTGTTTTTTAAATGAGTCGTGGAATAATTTTATAAAGATAAAATACTCATTTTTAAAAATTAACTAAGAGATAAAAACTAGAGTTAGTTGACTAGAATTTACCATCCATCACCTGTTGTTTTATATTATAATTGCCAAGAAAACAAATAGATTGAAGCGTAAAGGATAAAAAATCAAATACTTCATCTTAATTTGTATATTCATCTGTCACCGTGTGTGAATACGTGAGTGCGTGTGCTCACGGATGATAATTACAATACTGCAGCTGGCAGGTGACTAATGAATGATAACTAGACTTAGGCAAATATGCAGAAAAAGTGAAAAATGTGGGTACAAGTAGGCACTAATATACCCAAAAAAAAATGTATTAAACATGCATTTTTTTAGAAAATATGCATTTAATTGCATTTTTTTTTTAGAAAACATGCATACTGTCAATGGAAACATGTATTTATCTGTCTCAGAACACACCTCCTTTAATTCCTTACACTGGATCTATCCAACCGTAATTCTACTACATGCATCTCTATTTCTATTTTTCCCTTAGTCTGGTCTGGTCGTACTAAGTTCTAAACCTTTGTCCTCAAGAGCTTTTCTCCACTGTTCCGTTTTTCTCCTTAATCACTTTTAGGATTTCCTGTTACCTGTTACTCTGTAGTTTCGCCGTTGTCTGATCCAACACTAATGGAGAATAAATAAGGATCCAGCACCAAGCCTTACTTTCTCTTACTTTCAAATGGAGTTTATAAGTCTCTCCCTCACTTGTCCTCACACAAGTTTTTAGTCCATTATTGGCAGTTTTCTTATTGAGTGCCGTCTACAGAATCTTTCGAGAAATTCTATCATATGTTTTCTTAAAATCAATAGTGCTTGATAATATTTTATCACACTTGATTCATTTAATATAGTTTCTTTAGGTAGTCATTATAACGTATTCGTCACCTTAGCTGTCCTTTTATTATATTCTAAGGTAATACCAGAAGAAATTGTGACAATAAGTTAAGATTAAAAAATATGAGGTCAAATTATCGTTAAATATGATATTTTGCGTACCCTTGTATACCCTATCGTAAGGACTCTTGTACCTTGATACTTTGAGTTTATGATATACTTTACTGACAAGATCACCGCATTATTTTTCCCATTCAGTATTTTTCCTTAATTTAAAATAACCTTTTGATTTCTATGTTGTACTTTAATGAAATAAATACAATTTGACAGAAAAATATTGATCACTGGAATTTTTATTTTTCTTCGGCCCAGATGGAGATCTGCTGGTTATGCTACTTTGAGTAATGTATGCTTATGTAATTGTTCGTCTGGATTCTGATATATGGTGGCATCGTCATGGGTTTCAGAGGAAAATCCACCCTGGGAGCTTCTTCGAATGGTTTGTTCAGAAGTCACTATTTTCGATCGGGGCAAGAATTGCTCTCGGTAGGCTGTAAGCTTGTATTTGCCTAGTGTCATCAGTCTGTAGTAATCTCCATTATGAACTAAAGTTACGTCATGTTTTATATCATAAGATTGTTTCAAATCTGTAATGTTTCTAACATGTATTACCGCTCCGGGAATGCCACGCTTTGATTGGTTATCGTATACTACTCCTTTTACACCAATATGAGCCTACCATATAAAGTTAATGAGAACATCTTTAGTCCTCTCCCATTCAGGTTGTAATTCAGATGCTGGCGGATATTTGGCACAGTCTAGCTTTAAAGTTATTTTTATATCGTACTTGAAAAATAATTGAAATATTGCAACCTGCCAGTAGCGCGTACCATTTGGCACTATTTCATTATACCACCCTGTTTAGGGAAATCTTGGCTTTCGTAGTCACTGCAGCCTTTTTGCTTTACATCTTCCATATCGGCATGGTAAAAGGAATACGATAATGCCGAGTGTCTTAAAGTGTCGTCATCCGGCGTTTGTCTGCCAGATCTACTGTCGTCATAGGGGTAATTAGCTACAAGATCTCCTTCATGTAAATTTGTGAAAAGTACAAAAGAAATTTGCATTATAAAATGAATAACAGCTTTTGTTTCTGGCTAAAGTGGCTGATCCAGATGCGTCAGATCCTCTAATAAATGATTGTTGTGGTTGACGTATTGCTCCTCGTTTGTAAAAATTATCCTATCTAAATTGGGAAAGTTCCTACTTAAATTCACTGAGTTGCTTTGCTTGGTATCATGCATGCTTGGCATCAGATGGATTCTCTTCGTCCTGATTAGTGATTTAACTTGTTTATTTCTCTCCATATACTCATCGCAGAGGAAATCTGCCAGCTTGAACAGCAATTCCGTGCCCAAAACTTCGTTTCCGTATATATTAGCGATATATTGGAACTCAGATTTAAGAATTTCATGACTCCCTGGGTTAATAGAGAACTAGATAAAATAAAGTGGTAACCCCAACACGGAATTCTCGCTTAAAGTGTAGTGACATTCGGATATCTCGAGTTCATATGCTGCAAAATAGTCACCAACTCATCGTTGTTGCGACAAAGCTTTGACTATTATATGGATTTTCCGGATTGTTAGGCTGAAGAGGCATGGTTGCAGATTTTTTTGACGATTCCTGGTTTTTGAGGTTCCAATATTTAAAAACAGTAGAACTAATTTTTTTATGCACCATTGTTAATTTTTCTGTTCTTTTGTGTTATTTTATGTATATCTTTTGTGTGTTTCTGACCTCCTTAAATATACCCGCTCAGTAGTTACAACCACTGAGCAGCGGTGTCTTTGAGTCTTACAGTGTGTGTTTTCTGAATCTACTTCCTGGTAGTTTGGTTCACTACGTACGGTACAATAGTAACTCCATTATCAAATGAACATTCTGGATTTTTTATCGAAAATTTAAATAATATTTCGTTAATACTCTGTATACACTGTTCCAGTTCCTGCTTTAATTCCATTTCAATATTCCCGAGTGAAACCGTATTCTATATTCCATGGTGATATTCGTTGTCGATTATCAGTAGTAATATCCCTAGGACATTGATAACAGACGAGATAATTTTATGACAATCGAAAGCTCGTTCCTTGGTAACAGCACGAAGCCGAAGGCTGAGTACCAAGCAACGAGCTTGAGAAATTTGTCATAAAATTATGAGGCATTCATCAATGTCCGAGGGATATTTGGCGGATAATTTTTCGAAAAAAAAAAATCATAACTCAACATAACGAAACATTTATTTATTAAAAGTACAGTTAGTGAAAGTACAATTATTAAAATTTAAGTTAACATTAGATTCGTTGCTGTTCTCTACTATAGAAGATCTATTACCACGCATAATATTTATAATCTTGTTGTGTTGTTCTTGATCGAGATTCAAGTATGGTTTTATTGAATTCTGATTGCCATGACCAGTAATTTTTAGCAATTGAAACGTGACATTTTGAAATTTATTTGGATGAAGTTGTCAAACAAACTCGATCGTGTTGTCATAGGGATTGAAAATTGCACTGAATGCAATTATCAGTCTAATGTTGACATGATTGGGTGAAATTGTTCCACATGACACAAAATGACGAAATTTGAATGGTTGTTAGAACAGTCAAAAAATTATCCCTACAATTTCTATGTTATCTAGCCCAAAATTAATGATATAATAAAACTAAATATTGAACTGATGCAGTCTGATTCTTGCAATAAATTTATAATCGTATAGTTGTCATATCACCAATTTCCACATACTTACTGAAACCTTTTTCTTATTCATTACATCAACTCAAAACCTCTCGAGGTGTTCTATCAAAAGCTGTTTAAATATAAATAAAACAAGTATATATTATAAAAAAAATCTTCCTGTCGAACACAGTTTTACCATAGTTTTTATTATGATACATAGAAAAAAGGAATGTAACATAAAAAAGAGTTTTCATAGAAATAATATGAATGCATTGCCAAGATTCGATATGGAATTTATTTAAATTCCAATAAACTTAATTGAAATTATAATTTTGCAGTATTTTTATATTATTTTCGGCATATTTTAGATGATTTAAATAAAAAGATTTACTAAATTAAAGTAGAGAACAGTGATGTCAAAAACCGATTTCTCCCCATTGTCGACACGCCGTCAACCCCTTCTACACGTGTTGTCTTCGCCCGAAATTTCCTAGGAGGAGAGACGACGTTTCGCCCCCGGCATTAATGTATGTCAGAGTACAAATTGTATCAACCAAATGTGGATTTAGCCCCGGGAACAACACACGATGCTTTGTACGTATAACCCTATAATGTTCGCGATTACTCTGATTGAGTTAGGGATCTGGGTTGCTATATGTTGCAGGGATCTTATTTCTTAGATCGGTTGAGGCTGAATTGTTAGATTTGTTTGGTTTGTTAGATGTATAACTTTGTAAAGAATTCTCTTACGAAATATGCTAGCATAAAGGGAAAAAATATAAAAATCATACAAATTATTTATTAAGTTAAAATTGATATTAACTTTAATAAATGAAACTTTTTATTCATTATGCTGTGGTAATGGAAGGGTTGATAAGGATGCTGGTAATAACTTTATATTATAACTGCATTTTTATTTCACGATATTGGTATAATGACTTTGTTTATATCTACACATGGTAAACGAACGTACTTGGAAACACAGCAATAATGACCTACCTGAACGTTTATGAAGCAATACTATAACCATAATAATACTCCTAATTTTGGTATAGTAAGGTCTCGTTTTATGAGGACATGTTCCACAGAAAAGCTCACATAAAAAAATTGAATGAAAAAAGACATTACTTGCCTTGAAAAAGAAGGGATACGTCCCGTAGTCTTTTAAAACTACATAAAACCAAGACAAAATCAAAAAAGTTTCCAGAAATTGAAAGAAATAGGCTTCATGATAAATTACTTTCGATACTTGAACGAAATTCATACCAAAGCTTAAAAAACTGGTCCATTCGTTTTTGTGACTATTTATATTTATTCATTTCGTGTCGATAAATAGGAAAATAGGGGAACCTGTTTATTTTATTAGTATTTTTGTTGAATCGTTAATTATTAATGAACTTCGTCTGCAGGTGGCTGCTAAGTTTACCGCCTCCCAAACTCCTCCAAATTGAGGTGATCGTGGCGGAATAAACTGTCAATTGATACCTTCGGTAAATAAATTGTCCCTAATAGTTGAACTAGAGGTGTCAAAAAATTTGACAAACTCATTTTTTGTGCAAACAAAGGTACTACAATTGTCCAAAAGGATGGAAGCGCATTTTAGCGTTTTAGCGTTGCTAGAAAACTTTCCGTGGTCAAGCTGCTCACGACTTCTAAATGTATGGCCTTAGTTGTTAAACAGATGAATAGAGCTGTGTAAGCCTTGATAGTTGACGTGGCGAGGGTAAATTACCCATAAAATAGGTTTCTAATTTAGGAGCCACCTTACAACAAATAATACAATCGCGAACGATTTTGCTAACCACTCGACGTCCATTAAGGGGCCAAAATTTTTCACAAATTTAAGGTAATAGTAGTTTTGAGGACCGCAATGATCTCAACGATGAGGTAAGGTGCTCATTTCGTACAAGAATAGTGGTAAAGTGGTGTTTAGAAGCAAGGACAATGGGATGTTTTTTATCGTAACAAAAATCAGAATTATGCAATCTTCCACCAACATGGAGTATGTTACCCTATTGATAAACGGATTGAGGATAAGTAGTTTACTTTTAGAGTCAACGTTACCATGTCTTTTAAGGTGTGTCAAATCGTCATAAAATGTTTCATTTTGTACTAGTCTACTGTACTAGAGTTTTAAATCATGAGTTCTAGGCGTAGTGAGACTACTTGCTATAAGAGATGTTATGAAATGTATTTTATTTGTGAAGAACGATCTAAAGTATATTGGAAAGGATCCATCCAATTCAGAAATATATGCCATTGTTTCTGAACAAGTTATTAATAAAGGTTTGATTCCAATCGTAACTTAGGAAAGGATTATTCAGTTGAAAATTTCAGTCAAAAAACAAAATCCACATGGCTGTATGTAAAGCCCGAAGAGATGCTTCAAAGATGTTGCAGGTATTGTTTTAAATAGCATTTACTTTGATAAATTACTAACTAAAATCATAACCAACCGCCTAACACATAAGCTCAATTTCTATCAACCTATCGAGCAGGCTGGATTCAAAAAACATTTTAATACCATAGACCACTTGCACACCGTAAGAACACTGATAGAAAAATGCACCGAGTATAATGTTCCAATTCATATGGCGTTCGTCGATTTCCATAAAGCATTCGATTCCATCGAATTATGGGCAGTTCTTGAATCTCTAGAAAATGCACGCATAGATTCAAGATACATTAACATAATTAAAAACATATATGAAAATGCCACCATGCATATGAAGCTGGACGAAAGCACAAAAACTAATCCCATAAGACTACAACGAGGAGTAAGACAAGGAGACACCATCTCTCCTAAACTATTTACCCTTGCTCTAGAAGATATTTTTAAGAAACTGGCATGGAACAATAAGGGTATCAACGTCGACGGATCATACTTAAACCACTTGAGATTCGCAGATGACATAGTTTTAATAGCCGATAATATCCAAGAACTAAATGATATGTTACAACAATTAAATGCAGTTTCAGGAGCGGTAGGCTTAAAAATGAATTACAGCAAAACAAAAATACTGAGCCGAGACCAGACAAATATAACAATACAAAATCATACCATGGAAAATGTGGAACATTATGTATATCTAGGTCATGTTATCAAACTAGGAAAACCAAATCAAGATGCTGAAATTAAAAGAAGAACACAACTGGCTTGGGGCGCTTTCGGCAAACTAGCACATATCTTGAAACAACACCTTCATTCCTATAAACTTAAAGAAAAAGATGTATAACACATGCATACTACCTGTTTGTACCTACGGCTTGGAGACAGTAGCACTTACCAAAAAATCTGCCAAAAAATTAGAAACAACGCAAAGAGCAATGGCACGAATCATGCTTGGAATATCACTAAGAGACAAGATTAGAAACACCGAGATAAAAC